GACAGAAACAAATTTGGAGACTTGTGCACACCATGGTGTGGGACTGCATTTGCAAGAATTGTAGCTATATGCTGGATCCAGGCCTGCAAAATCTCTCCAGAGGTAGGAGAGATCGCTGAGATTGCCCATGATTGTGACAAATCTGGACAATTGCTCCTTGTGAGTGGACCATTGCCTGAATCTGCCTTTTTCGCAGTCTTCTTTGGAATTGAGTGGCTAGAAGTTGCAATTCCATCGTTCACACTGATAAAGCAGCCTTTTATTGACATTAAGCTTGACTGGCTCTCATTTCTTGATCAATTTTTGGATTATTTTTTTATTGTACTGGAGAAATTGCCCTTCAGACTGGCAAGTTTTGTTGTATTCATCAAGTGAATCCCCCTCTCCTTAGAGGAAAATGGTGCAAATTTGAATTTAAAAGTTTTGGAAATATTTTTTTTGAATATGCAGCATAAAGGTGTTTAGATTATGGACTTTGGAAAGTTAACAACAGAATCTGTAAGAGTCCAGATGGATTTGAAATTATAGCTTTGAATTAATTAGAAGAATTTTTTCTACAGGAAAATGGTGATTATTTGGGAGATAGGGGGACTTTGAAGATTGAACACTAGAGAGAGCTAGAGGATAAAGAATGAAATGGAAACCTGTAATAGGTTTTTGAACGTTGGATTGTTAAACTTGTTAACTAGGTACATTTCTTCATAAGATGGATTGATAATGAAGTTACAGAATACCAAGTTGTAATGGATCATTTTTTAATTATTTTGAACATTAAACTTAATGAGAAGGATATGGACATTACAAATGGCATTGATGGATATCTTTTCCCCCCCATATATTTTATTGATTTTTTAAAACATAAATTACTTAATAATTGGTAAACAGTGTGTTAGCTGGGTTTACATTTGCAAAGAAAAATCATTAACAATTGGTTTCTATAATCCATAATCCACATAGTACATTTAGTTGATTTCCTCCTTTCCCCAAAATGTCTTCTTTGCAAACCTTGAAATAATAGTTATTATTTTTATAAATAACGGTTACATATATGATTTTTCCCAATATTCCTAGAAATAATGATCACATCAATATAATATTTCTTTTCTATCTAATCATTCTGGTTGCCTCATCTTATATCCTGTTACAGTCCTTATTTAGATTTGTTTCTCCCATAAAGTTCAAAGTATTCTTGCTAGTTAAGATTTTCTCAACAGATAATTACATTTAAAGATTTAAATCCATTTTCCCCATATAAACTATCTCAACACTTTTACATTTCTTAAAGAATAGGTAAAAACAGTAAAGAAAAGGAAAAAAGAGCAAGAGTAAAGAAACATAAAAAAGTAAACTACTTAAAATATATATTCCTCCTAAGCTAATATATATTCATTCCCTAAATTTCTTATTCTTTTTAACCATGATTAAAAATATATTTAATCTTTAAATATTCCATTTAATGTGTCTAGTCATCTAATCCTTTAACTCTTATTCGAAACATTTTTTTCTTTTTTATACATTATAATTTCCCTAAATTCAGACACATTTAATTATCTAAAACATTTCCTCCACCTAGGCCATTTCAGCAGTATTATATTACTTATATCAAGAAATAAAATAAAAGGGGGGAGGAGCCTAAAGTATTATTTAAGGAATTCATCTCTCTTAGAATGACATATGTATTCAGTATCTTTTCTATTTCTTTAACCATATTCAAACAAATGTTTCTTTTTTAAACATTCTCTCTGGCAGATCCCATCATCTATTTTCTTAATTTTCACTTTGATCTTTTTCCTTTGATCAGTATCTTTCTTGATCAATGTGTTTTGCTGAATCAAAAAGTTTTTCCATATATTCATGACTGTTGCTGTAGGTATAAGAAGTAAATTGAATAAAGTGTCTTTATGTGAGGCTTTTGCCTTTCCATGTTTCTTGAAAATCTTTTTCTCTTTCTCCTTCTTTGCTTCTCTTATCACTTCCTTTCTCTCTGATGTTTTCAACATCTCTACATTCCATTTTATCCACTGTTTTTTGTCCTCAGATTTATTTTGTAATCTTAAGGGATGAGTTGTTTTTTCCATTTCTTGTAAATTTTTCCCCACTAGAATTAAATCATGTTTTCTTGCTTTGTTAAGTTCCATCTTTGAGTCTCTATTTTCAATTTTATGTCCACTTATTTGTTTTGCCTGCTCCTTCTCTATTGTTGTTTCCTGGAAAAAAATTTATTGTAAAGTTAACTTAGAGATAGATTGATTTGTATATTCAAAGTTATTTTGGATTTCTTTGTGATTTGAATTCAGTGTTATTTGAATTAATTGCAGTATACTATATATCTCCTGAGAGGCATTTATGTTTTCTTGGTGTGTTCTGTCTACATCCATGATGCCCAAAAGTTGGAGTTTTCCTTCTTATCTGCAAATAGCTCTAGCGTCCCAGTTAAATAGATATTTGTAATCCAAAGAGTTCAAAAAAGATTCCCCCCCCCTAAAGCTAATAATTCTCCCTTTGTCTGCAGCCCAGGCTGTTGTCTTTTTTTTGTCACAGCTGTTCTTTATTATTAAAGCTTTGAAGGTCACAAACACAGATTAGCTTTTCCCAGGTTTTGGCAAGTTCTCTATATGGAAATCATAGCTGTCATAATTTTCATCCATCACTAGGTGTCAGCATCTATTTAGTTTTCAATATGAACAATGGTCTTTAAAATGAGAGTCTTAACCATTCAACAATCTTAAACTTGTCCAAAGTTAAATTTTAGCTTTCAAGTTTATAAATTTATTTCACTACCATATATTTTGATCCTCCACAGAAATTTTAATTCACCGCTTCCGTTAGTATAAGGATGGGGTGGAAGTCCCCCTCCTTCACTTTCAGAGGTATTTTGCTTCTCGGGGATCTTTTTCAGGAAATTAAGTGTAGGATAGAAAAGGGAAAATCAGATTCCTCACCCAGTTTCAAGCACGCTGTTTACTGTAGTGCTGGTTAGTTCTTTTGGACTCTGGTTACAAGTAGCTTGGGCTGATCAATGAAATACAGCTTTTCTCCTGTCGGGTTAGAAGGCTTTCCCCAAGACGAACGGAATGACCACTGTCATTCCAGAGTTGTCGGGACACCCTTCTTTCTTCGCTGTCTCTCTGGGGCAGCTGGGACTCATTAGGGTCTCCAGGCAGGACGAAAGTTAGCCGTGTGGGTGTGGGGGTCCACAAGCCCACGACCAGTCACTACCACACAGGACCAGAAGTCTCGGCATTGATGGATATCTTATTCCCCAAGAGAATTGTAAAACTATTATAACAGGAAATTAACTGCACAAAAGAGTTTGGTTAAGGTGTTGAAGGATTTCAGTATTAGTGGCAAACAAAAAGACAAACTTTTTTTAGTGGATATACCAAAGGAATCTGCAAAAGTTCTGAAACATTTTTGGTTTAAAAGACATAAAAAAGAAGGAACTTATTTCAACTTATGAATATTTGTCCTAAAATTTGAATTAAACCACGCTTTGTAAGAAAAAAGAAAATAAGATGATTCACATATCACCTTTAATAAAATGAGATGAGTAGTCTAGAACTTTAATAAAAGCAAATGTATCTCATCTGCACACTTTGATAGGGAATTATAAACTAAATATTTAAAAAAGGTGTGCGCATATTCACACAGAAATAATCTAACTCCAGCCAAGCATTTACCCTATAACCTATGGGCAAGTTAAATAAGTGTGGATTCCAATAGAAGAGAGTAGTAGTAGTAGTAGTAATAATAATAATAATAATAAAGTTGGAAGGGACCTTGGAGGTCATCTAGTCCAACCCCCTGCTCAGGCAGGAAACCCTACACCATTTCGGACAAATGGCTGTCCAGTTTCTTCTTAAAAACTTCCAGTGTTGGCGCGTTCACCGCTTCTGGAGGCAGGTTGTTCCACTGGTTAATTGTTCTGTCAGGAAGTTTCTCCTTAGTTCTAGGTTGCTTCTCTCCTTGGTTAGTTTCCACCCGTTGCTTCTTGTCCTGCCTTCAGGCGCTTTGGAGAATAGCTTGACTCCCTCTTCTTTGTGGCAGCCCCTGAGATATTGGAACACTGCTATCATGTCCCCCCTTGTCCTTCTCTTCGTTAAACTAGACGTACCCAATTCCAGCAACCATTCCTCATCTTTTAGCCTCCAGTCCCCTGATCATCTTTGTTGCTCTTCTCTGTACTCTTTCTAGAGTCTCAGCATCTTTTTTACATCGTGGTGACCAAAACTGGATGCAGTATTCCAAGTGTGGCCTTGGTGCTCTTGGAGCTTGGTCCCAAACTCGGAAGGCACCAATGACCGGAGCGTGAACTCGAAGACATACTGAAGCAGCCACGTGGCTGGCCCAGGTCGCGCCCATAGACGTTCATCAGGGGTTCACAATGGAGAGGATATAAAGGGATGCATCGTGCGATTCAGCAGCGGTTCCTCTACTTTCCGAGGGTTTTATTAATAATTTGAATGAAGTAGTGAGAGGAACCGCTTATCAAATTGGGTGGAACAGCTAAAACCATAAAAGGAAGAAGCCAAGACAATCCAACTCCCACGGACGGTTTCCCCCCCCCCCACGCTTCCATCTTTTCTCGAGCTGCAACCCTGCTGCAACTTCGGAACTCAGACAAGATCGGCCGACCCCACCGCCCACCTGCGCGGGCTACACACCAATCCCCGCCTCAGTTGGTCGGCGGGAGCCCCTCCCTTTGCTCCTCAGCCCGGCTTTGCTCCCGGCTCCTCCAGCCTCAAACTTTCTCGACTCCCGCCCGCTAAACTAGCCTCAAGGAGGCGCATGCGCTCTGCCGTTCCTAACGGTACCGAAGGGGTGAGGAAAGGGGCGTCGGCCTGACTACCTCTCCGGGAAGCCAGATGGGCGGGGGACTGCCCAGGCCCCGCCCCCTCGTTCGCTACCGCCTTTTTTCCCTCTCGCCGGTGGCAGTCAGGGCACTCTGGTGGCGGCGGCCGCTGCTGGGACGAGCAGGAGCCCGGGCGGGCGGCGAGTGGGGGAAAATGGAGGTCTTGGCAGCCTGGCTGTGGAACGAGCGCTTCTGGTTTCCGGCCAACGTGACCTGGGCCGATTTGGAGCGAGAGAACGACGGGTACCGCGCCGTCCACCTCCTGGCGGCGCTCCCGCTAGCGGCCGGCCTTTTGGTCTTAAGGCACTTCTTCGAGAGGTACGGTTGCGGGAGGTGGCCAGAGAAGGCAGGGCCGGGTGTGCGATAGCGGAGCCTGGGGCGGCCGTGGCCGGCGGACCTTGCCCCACGGGATGATGTTTGGGTGGGGGGGGGATGCTTCCGCCTGACCGCCCCTCCCGGTTCCGGTTGTGGGTGACTCTGACTTCCTTCTCTGAGTGCGAGAGGCTCCGGGCGAGGCTGGGTTTTTCTTCCTCCCGGGGCCGCGGAGCGGTCCCTCCTCCCGGCCTGTCAGTGGCTTCGCTCGAGGCGGCCACGGTGCAGCCTGTGCGGCTCGACGTTGTCGGGTCTATGGGAGCAAAGCTTCGGAGAAGCTCTTCCGAATGACAAGTCTTCACTTAACGTTTGGCGAAATTTCACAAACCGTGATCCGTCGGAAACGTGTTACCAGATTCTCCTCTGACGGTGTTCGACCGAGAGCTCAGCCCGCTCTGCAGATATAATCTTATTTATTCGTTTATTTAGTTTCGATATGCCAAAGGAAGGCAGGGAAGGTTTTCCTAGCTCACATCTTTATCTTAAACGCTGCACCAATCCTGGATTGATAAAGATGGGCTGAGTGAGAGAAGGGCTTGCAGCTGACCTTAGACCTTCACGGGGAAGTGGGAATTTGAACTCGAGTGTGTTCCCAGTTGTACTTTGCAACTGAATCTGTCTGTGTAGACTTCTGCTGTTTGACTCAACATTCATTATTTACGAAGGTGAAGTCAGTTTTTTAAAAATAGTTTTAGATAGGTTGCAGACTAAAAGATTGTGTCCTTAGTGGGGGGGTTTCTCCCCCCCCCTTCATTGAGTTTGCCAGTGTTTTAAGATTAGTTATGTGCTGAAAATCAGGGCAGAACGGAAATGATTAAACAGGGATAGATACAGAAAACATTAAC